CTTGGGGTGGGATATGTTAAAAGACAATGTGCACCCCAAGAAGCCTGAGTCAGTCCTACAGATGTGCCTGTTGGTAACTCTGATACCTCATGATGTCAAATGTCAATAGTAATTTCAGACAGAAGGAAAACAAGACCCAGACAGCACAACTTGGTATATTATACTTTTTTCATCAAAAGTAGAGCTTCCCAACTTTTTCATGTTGATGTCCACGTGGTAACATTTGTTACAGCATAGTGTGTAAACAGAAGAGGCTGCCCTCAACCTCAGAGGCAACTGATCTCAGACCTTGAGCCACCTTGGGGTTTTGAGAGGCTCTTTGTCTCCCCTCTGAGGGGTGAGGGGGAAAATATCTCAACAAACCTATAATTGATTGACAGCTCAAGGGCCGAGAATTTCCGATGTAATGACTCAAAAGGAAATCAGCCTGGTGAGGGTATACCTCAGCAAGCTCAGAAACATTCGTGATAGGAAGGTATCAGCTTGTGGATCCCAAGACGCTCACTGGAGACATTCAGTTGCAGGTGATAATGTCAGGGTAGGGGAGGGTCTCATTAGGCTTTCAGGAAGGTCCACCCCACTCCAGATGCAACAGGAGCAGTCCTCCAAGGTGCCAGCCAGGAAATCTCCAGGGACCTTGTCATCCCATCTGGACCTTATCTAACCCATCCAATAAACAACTAGAGGAGAGCATCAGGGCATGCACTCAGTCCCTGCTGTTCCCTCTTGGCCTTTTGGGCTAACTAAATGGGTGAAGGGTCTACTCTAAATGCAATGCTACAGAATTAGACAACCAGACATCAGCTACCCAGACAACTCCAGAGGTCATGATAAAAAGCTCTTACACCTGCTCTAGGTGCTGTACTGCCCTGACACCTACATACTCTCTGCTTCCTTTAAAATAACCACTTCAAAGGGCCCCTTCCTCACCTCCTGTCAACCTTGATCACATGTCCAAGTTCTACTCCACACTTCAGGGCTTTCTCCTTCGAGTTGGTCCATTTTGACCTCCTTTCTTCCCCAAATCCTGCTTAATACATTGTCTAAAACTGTGCTTTCATGTATTTTTTACCATGACCCTCAATTTTTTACTGCTTCCCAGAACTTACATACACTTACATTTTGTGTGATTAATTTTGATAGTTTCTCTTCTGCTCTATTTCATTTTTTAATGCTCTATAATGGGGTGTATGAAATACACTTGTCCAAAACATTCATTTAGGACCCTTACTCATTGTCTTTCATTTGCGTAAGTCTTGTCTCTGTAATAAGATTTCAGATTCCTTAAGAGGGTAGCTTTTTGTCTGCTTCCCATGGGTGCTGTCTGGACTTACCACCCATTGGGTCTAGTGTGCAAAGGCTCAGGAGAATAGGATAAATTTGCTTTAAATATGCAATATTTAGATACTTAGAGTGTACTTCATGGCAACATTAATCCTTCCTCCATGTTGTGTGTCAACTGTGGGCTCAAATAGCTGCCCCTTTTATTGACCTGGATGTTTCTGAATCCTCAACTCTACCTCCTGGACTCACCCCTAGATGATTTCTGCCCCCCGCCCCCCACCCGCATGAAGCCTCTTCAGCAGGTGTGGTCTCTGTAGAACACCCTGATCCAGGAGGCTCCTTTTCTCGCCTCCAATTAGGTGCCCCTGACCTGGCCCCTCTCAGCTCTGAAAAGAGTAGCTATGACCTTGTCCAGAAACAAAGGAAATGATAATGTTGATAATACAGAAATGCCTGCATTTTAATACATTTTTTCAGCAACTTTTACCTGCTCTTTGATTTTCATAAGAACACAATGTTCTAAAAAAGTTCCAAGAAAGAACTTTTTTTAGAGTGACTACAGACAAGGAAGAGAAATCACACTTCAGCATTTGGTTTCAGCCCCTCCCAACTCTGGCTTGGGGTTTCATTTCCACATTTCCTACTAGTCATGCTCATGGGAGACCTTCGTGGAATAGGGTGAGATGATGGATGAAGAGACAGAGGCAAGATGGTGAAAGAGAGCAAGCATGACTAAGTGTTAGGAGACCATGTGGTGACCAACAGGCTCAATTTGACTGGGACTAAGGGGTTTCCCAGGATGTGGGCCTTGTAGTACTAAATCCAGTCAAATTCAGGGCAAATTGGCCGGTTGGTCACCTAGGACCTCAGCCCAGAGAAAGTGGTAAATGTCGCACCACCTCTTTCCCTTATTCTTCCTTCCTTCTTCATCAGAAGGCAATAATTGTCTATCTTCCATTTGAAACAGAAGGTCCAAGGCGTGAACCCTGAGGTCCTTGAATCACTCCAAGTTGATAGGGAAGGTGGCTGCCCAAAATGTCTCTGAGATGGAGCTTTGGCATCTCCTCAGCTTAATAAAGCTGATTCTCAGGGCAGTCTACAGGTATCTACCCTGAGATGGCTACTGCGCTCAGAACTCCAGAAACTTCATCACATAACTAGAGCGCATGAGTTGCAACTCAGCGTGCCCAGTTCTGTGCACCAGGGAGCATCGCAGAGCGAGAACAGGGATAGCAGAGGTGGCTGGGGATGGATAGAGACCTGCTTTCAGCAATGATTCATCACGTTTTGTACTATGTCAGGTTTGGTAGATAACTGTCTCTGTCCAGGCTGAAAAGGTATTGAATTTGGTGTCGAACAGAAGGATAAGGAAAATGGACACTTCCTAGGTGTCCCAGGTTTCCTGGGGGTTTGTTTGTTTGTTTGTTTGTTTGTTTTGCAAATCTGAACAGAGGAATAGAGAGGGTGTGGGAAAAGGCACAAAGAGTCTAGTTTTGGAAATACTTTCATATCTGGATATATATGAATTTCTACAGTCCTGCTTTCTGAAAGTAGCTACCTAAGATTATTCTGCTAGCACTAAATGTAACTACAAAGGGGGACATGAGGGAAGAGTTAGAGCATTTAAGTCATATGTTTTACTCATTTATTCGGTAAGTATTTTTGAGCACTTTTTAGGGCTAAGTTCTAGCAAGATCCTGACCTGAAGACAGTCCCTGGCCTCTATAAAGCCCACGATCTCATCCAGAAAACTGATAGAGACCAGTTAACACATTTCATCACTGACTCTCTGAGGTCTCTTTGAGCCATAAGAGGAGCCTGGGAACTACTAGAGAAAAAAAAGATAAGACTTAGAGACCAGAACTCAAAGCAGAAAATCAGTCCTTAGCTGGGGTGCCAGAGCACCCAGTTAAGTGGATAAATATAATGTTTGCGAATAGTTCAAACCACAAGGAAAGAAGAGAGGGAGTTTGAAGATGTCACTAGAATGAAGTGAATTTGCTACATTGATAAGAATGGTTAGCATCGGTTCCCCTCAGTGTCTATAAGATTTTGATGTGAACTCTGTCCATCAAATTTTTTAGGGATTCCAGGCAGTTGCTGGGGGAGTACCTGGTCCCTATCTAATAAGGGTGGAATCCTGGTCAGATTACAGCCCACTTCCTGCCCTGCTCTGCTCAATTCACACAAATTATGAGTGCTGACTAGTTTGAAAGTCCTTGAAGAATTTAAAAGTGTAAGGACCAATAAAAGTCAAATATAAGGAAAAAATGTTAATTCTCTTTTCTGGGGAAAAAACAAAGTGGAAAAGAATTACCCCCTCCCTTCTTAGAGTATTTTATTTAGAAAGCTTGTAAGCGTGAATTCTTTGTCCACCCTTTGTAATGCAATCTTTTTAAAAGCTGTTTGACAGCCCAGGACTGTCTTTAGAGCACCTGGAAGCCATCCCTTTGAAATGCAAACATCAGGGAAGGTAGTGTCCCCACCTCCCAGTCTCCGTGGGAAAGCAGGGGCCTAATTTAGGAGCCTAACTTAACTTCAGTAGGAGCCTGACATCTGCCAGCACCTTTCTGAGTTGCAAATCTTCCTCTTGCCATAGAGGATATGAGAAGTTTCCTTTTCCTCTGGAAAAAGACAATTAGCTAATACAGATGATTACTGAGTGAGTTTAGGATGAACTATGTATGACAAAGGGTACTGTCAAGTCCTCTTACTTGAGTACTAGTTACGGTTTAGCTTGAGAACACATGTGTAATGGGTGGCACCTGCCTGGCTATATGACCAGGTGACATCCCTCTCCGTCTTTGCAATCTCTTCCTGGGTTGTCTGGGATCCAGATCACATTCTGGTTCAACGCACGTTCAATAAAATTGTTTTCTTTCTCCTCTGCCTCTGTGGAGAGGTTTTCTAGGCTGGCAGGGGATTGTTTTAAATTGTTTTACCCATCAAGTCTTAGACAATTGTTATGATATGACTGTAAGCTCCACTTCAAATGTCAACAACGAGGGATGTGGGGATTCTCTTGGCCCTGATGGCCCTCTGCCTACGTCCCATTGTGTTCTCCATCTCATAATTGCTTTATGTCCACTGCTCTAATCTTAAATGGCAATCAGCTTTATGTCCACTGCTTTCCCAATCAGTTCAAAAATAGAGGTTCTATCACCCTGCTTTCAACCCTTACCAGATAAACTGACACGTGGACTCCACAATGTCCCCACAGGGAGGGCTCCATCACGTGGCAGACAGCTTGCCAGGGTAAGTCACAAGCCAAGAGTCAAACCCTGCGAGGGCTTGTTCTGGTCCTCTGTGGACCAGAGTGCCTTTCTGATCCTGGTTAGCAGAAGTTTTCCAGAAGCAGAGCCTGTGAGAGGAGCAGGTGCCCCAGTGATGGGTGCTGAGGGCAGCAGCTGCTGCCCAGGACTTTCCAGTCACCAGGGGCCTTTTCTGAACTTGGAAGTGGGAGAGTCTATAATTCCCTTCATATCTCCTTCTTCCAAATACTGCTTGCTTGAAACAGTCAAAAATAAAAAGGAAATAGCATGGGGCACACTGTCCCAGGGCAGGCTCATGACAGGAAGTGGCCCGTTAAGGAGGCAGCACATTCGGCTGGTTTTCAGGGGCTTGTTCCCAATCAGTTTCCAGCCAATACCAGGGTGTCCTAGTCCACATGGGTGTGGGGGGCACACTCCATAATCTCTACCCATCTTTGTTTGCAGCTGAGTCATGGAGCTTTCAGCCCCTGCACATGGCTCCTCCTTAACTGCATCTGCTCAGCCTCCCTCAGCCCTGCGAATAGCCTCCCCACACACAGACCACACAGCAGGGCTCTCTCTGCTGTCACTTCACCTTCCTGAGAAAGGACCAGCCGGCCAGAGCCTACATGACCGCCACCCTGGAGGACAGGGCACAACAGCCGCTTCTGGTAAGGAGAACTGGGTTTATGCTTACAGAGACTTGGGGAATCAGAAGGATCACAGTTTGGTCACAGCTATTCATTTCTGACGTGACCTTGCACAGATCCCCTCACTTCTGGGTTCCCTGGTCAGTAAAACGGGGCAATGGTGGTGAGTGTTGCGGTCATCAGCAGGTGCGCAGCTGGTGGAGCACAGCCTAAAGAATCTGCGCCTCCACTCACAGCCCAGTCCCGGGCAGCGGGCTTTGCTGCCCCATTGCCCATTACTTAGCCAAGTCGATCTCCATGAAACTCTCAGGGAGTAAGGCTGAACTGATCCTCTCACCAGTGGGACCGATGGGGAAACTGAAGCTCCCAGAGGGTAACAGGCTTTCCCCATCTCCCCTAGCATGCTGGGGCATTCTTCTCAAATTTACCCTCCTAATTTCTCCTGTCCCAGACCAGCCAGACGCGCACTATGTCTCAGACAAGCCTGGGAGCTGAGGATGGATTCTTAGGGCTCCCCAGGGCAAGTGTAGGATATTTTCCCACCCCAGGAACCTCATGTTCCAAACAAGACCCCTGAGTGGACCTTTTCTTGTGACTTTCAACTTCGGAAAACTACCCCATGCTCCCCTAGATTTCCCACATTTCTCCTGTGACACCCTGCAGGATGCACTGTAGGGAAACAGGCTCATGTTTGGGGCACCTGTGAACAATCCCTTTGTCAGCCAAACTTTATGTGAGAGACATGCCATGGAACCACAGTGACCAAACCGCAAAACACATCATTCCAATACCTGGAAATATATGGGCTGGGGCAGATGGGTGAAGGAAATACTTATGAACAAAGAAGACAAGAAGTGGTTTGATCTTTTCTAAAATAGTATGGAAGAGGCTGCTTTCTTGTGATTTGCTAAAATAAGCTCTTCTCATGGTAAAATCAGGTTCATGCAATTTTCAAATCAGAACATGCATTTTGTTCATTTGCTTCACCCTTTTCCCTGAGCCAGACCCTCCTACCGGCTTGCCAGAGGCTGCTACTTTCTTGCTTGCACACTGCCTTCCAATCTCTCGTGACCTTTGGTCTCATTTGTGGGACTATTGGTAAAATTTTTCCTTTGGAGAAGATATCTGCCTTCATTCTCAATTCCCCAACTTTTGTCTGCCCTGTAGACCAACACGTATCACTTTCCTTCAAGCCTACGATGTGTCCACCACGCTTTATTCAGTTATTTTATAATCTTCTCCATGACTCATTTTAGCATTGCCATCAGTATCCTTTCTGACTCACCTGTGAACACTTTGTTATTTGTTAATATCTGCCAAAAAATAGATTCCTCAATGCAGCCTGATCCACTCAGAGAGATTGGATTGGGAGAGCTATTGTTGCTGCTCATTGCCTGACATAACAGAGTCTGACTGGCTTTTGTGACAGGCAATTGGCTGTTTTAAAAGGAAAGACCCCAATTCAGAGAAATTCCTGCCACCAACAATTTTATTTTTGAATAATCTTTTATAAGAAATGCACTCAAGATTTTGCAATAAAATTCTGTGTGTTGGTTTTAGGGTAGGCTTCTAGCTGTCCAATTAATTTGTCTCCTTACCAGGGGGTGGCAGCATTGTACACATGGTCCAAGAGGTTTGCTGACTTTTTTGGAATAGTCTCTTTTTCCGCCTATGGAATCAAGGACAATACACAGGCAAAAGGAGCCATTTCCTGATGCTAGCTCCATTGTAAATATGTGACCTTTGGCAGGTCATTTAATGCTCAGTTTCCTTGCATTTTAATAGACATTTTAAGACCAGTCTTGATCACATCACAGGGAATTTGAGAGAGCAATTAAAATAAGAAGGATGAAATAAACTTGAAAATTATAAACGTCTGCACAGAGGTTTATTACAATTACGATGTTCATAATCAACATCATTACCACTGTCCTCTTGACCCTTACCACATCATTTTGTTGATTCCAAACCTCAGAGGATGTCAGGGAACTGGTGCTACTTTAGCAAAAGCCAGAAGCATAATTTACCAGAGACAAGAAAGGGTGTAGGAGAGAGAATACTCTTCTCTGGGCTTAAGAAAAAGAAAGAAAGGAGAGAGGGGAGGGGGAAGAGAAAAGGAGGAAGAAGAGAAAGAAGGGAAAGGGAGGGAGGCAGGAAGCTGTCTTAATACATTCTGATAATACAAAAATTGATTGATTGACCTAAAGGCCAAGAAGATCCACTGAATGAATAGAAAAATGTGGAAAAGATAGAAATCACAGAAGTTATTAAAAATGGAAGTTTATAAATAACCAAAATAGCAAACCATGAAAACTGTTTTTAATTTAATGATAATCAGTAAAATATAAGTTTAAGTCAATTAAGGCATCCTTATTTATGCCCATAAGGATGACAGGAAATTAAAAGTGTAATATTACCAAGTGCCTGTCAAGATCTGGGGACTTCTTATAAATGGGTGGTGCAAATAGGAGTTAGCATGACTCCCTGGGAGTCATATTTGGCAATATCCAGTCAGGTGGAAGATATACATCCCCAATGCTGTTACGCAGTGCTGAAAACCCAGAGCAGGAATGAGTTGTTCCTGAATTTGACCTGAAGTTGACTATTTCTCTTCAATCACCTCACTACCTCCTCTCCACCAACCGTCAGGATGGGAAGGCGGTCATACCAGTCCCCCTGCACCATTTCCTCTCACGTCAGTTCTTTGTGTCCCTGATCCCCACTTCCACCCTCCCATTGGAAAGTACCTTGTAATTTCCTCTCCGCCACTGGAATACCCATTTGACACAAAGACTTTCTAGGACTGGAAGTTTCCACTACTTCAAATAAATCAATCTTATTTATAGCAAGGCAATTTTTTTCTCTATTCTGGTAAGTTTGCCTAGTGTAATTTCAATTTTTTTTAACACTCACTCTTTGTTCCATAGAAGAATGCTTTCTTCATTTCATGCCTTTCTGGTTGGGGGAGATAATCAACTGATTTGCTCCCAAATATTTCCTGATTTTCTGTTAAGTTGAGGGGAGGGAAGCAATAGTGCACTATTTTAGCATAACCTAACATTACCTGGTTTGCTTAAAGTTATTTACAGATGTTTCAAAGCAAAATATGAGTTAGAAAATTAGTGATGGAAATGGCTCATCTGAGGATAATTATTCTTAGATGTCTGAATTGAGGTGCTCTCAGACTCTACCAGCTCGCATATGGACATTTGCTTTTTATCCTTTTCCTGTTTTTATTCCAGGAGAGAATGGAAGGATTCCAGAAGGGCAAATATGGAGCTATGGCTGAAGGTAAGAAAGTCTTGAAGTTCTCAAGAGCCCCAGATGCTTGGGAGAATCACAATTCTCTCCCCACTTACCCCCACCTAAAACACAGTGGCAGAAACCCATCCATTTTAAATGAAGAAGATAAAGGCAACCATCATTTTTTACCTCGCCATACCTCTTGTGCCTAATCGAACAACCACACACAACCACACACACACACACACCCCATAGTGTGATGCTCTCCCTGCACCAGGTGTGTGGGAAATGTGGAAAGGAAACCGAGTCATAATGGTGAATATGTTTTCTCTTTCTTTGTCTGCTAACAGCTCAAAACAAAACAACAAAAAAGGTCCCCATAGGGATTTAGTCGTTGTGCTTGCTACAAAACACCACAGAATAGCTTAAGAAAAGGAAGAACCAACCCAGAGTGGGAGGAATAAAATAATAGATTTTTTAAGAGCCTAAAGTGCACTTTGAATTTATTTGGGCTCCAGAAATCCGCAGGTTCTCCCCTCTTTGTGCCTTGAAGATTTTAGCTCCTGCCACAGTGTCACCCTCTCCAACACCACTTCTGCTATAATTTCATGTGCTTCCATCAGCCGCATAGATTAGCTTTTCAACACACATGCTTCTATTGAGCTTATGTTCTACCTTTTTGAGCCATCCACCTTAGGGTCATCTCCCAGACGTTGCCCTAACATTAACTACAACCTACGTCATCTCAATTTCAAACATTTCACTCCCTATCCAGAAAGCACAGACCCAGGGACAGGCAGCTGACCCCCGGCAGGGGTCACTATAGATCTGCCAGTGGAGACCTGCTTGACCCTCAAGGCTTGGATGAATGTGTGGAGTGTGTCTATAAAAGTGTGCCTGGAAATATGTGGGTGAAAGAGAAGTAATTGTATTTTCTCACTTGTAACTACTCATCCCCTCCCTCCTTCTAATAATTCTCCATGGATCTAGCCTAAACACCATGCAGGGGAAAACACAAGGACCATTTTCTTTCAGGAAAGCTCTATTTGCCACAATCCAGATGAAGTGCTTAATGCATCCCCTTAATGCAACAGTTCTGACTCCTGGCTGTGGATCCAAGCATGGGCTTCCAGTGAGGCTTTTTACATGCAAGATTCACCTACAGTTGTATGCACACTTTTATACACACATAAACATGTCTGTCATTCTGGGGAGGAGGTTCATAGCTTTTATGAGATATCCATGAACAATGACCTAACATTCTTAAGGATCATTAACTTGGTAAGACACAAAACTTCTTTTTCTACAGGTAGATCAGAAGATAACTTGTTTGCAACACCACCGGCATTGAGGATTATCCTAGTGGGCAAAACAGGCTGCGGGAAAAGTGCCACAGGAAACAGCATCCTTGGCCAGCACGTGTTTGAGTCCAAGCTGGGGGCCCAGTCAGTGACCAGGACGTGCCAGGCAAAAACAGGAACATGGAATGGGAGGAAAGTCTTGGTGGTTGACACGCCCTCCATTTTTGAGTCAAAGGCTGATACCCAAGAGTTGTACAAGAACATTGGGGACTGCTACCTGCTCTCTGCCCCCGGGCCCCACGTGCTGCTTCTGGTGATCCAGCTGGGGCGTTTCACTGCTCAGGACACAATGGCCATCAGGAAGGTGAAGGAGGTCTTTGGGGCAGGGGCCATGAGACATGTGGTCATCCTCTTCACCCACAAAGAGGACTTAGGGGGCCAGGCCCTGGATGACTATGTAGCAAACACGGACAACCGTAGCCTGAAGGACCTGGTGCAGGAGTGCGAGAGAAGGTACTGTGCCTTCAACAACCGGGGCTCTGGGGAAGGGCAGAGGCAGCAGCAGGCAGAGCTCCTGGCTGTGATTGAGAGGCTGGGAAGGGAGCGAGAGGGCTCCTTCCACAGCAACAACCTCTTCCTGGATGCCCAGCTGCTCCAAAGAGCTGGAGCTGGGACCTGCCAGGAAGACTACAGGCAGTACCTGGCCAAGGTGAAATGGCAGGTGGAGAAGCAGAGGCAAGAGCTGAGGGAGAATGAGAGTAACTGGGCATACAAGGCGCTCCTCAGAGTCAAACACTTGATGCTTTTGCATTATGAGATTTTTGTTTTTCTTTTTTGGTGCAGCATCCTTTTTTTAATTATTTTTCTGTTCATCTTTCATTATATTTAAATCTCTGGACCCTGGAGCACTTCTAACGTATCACCCCATGGCGTCATTGTTCTAATAATCACCAATTCAGACTCGGATCCTCATGGTCTGTGGAGCACGCTGCTTGCTGTCTGTGCAGCTCCCATTTCCCCTTCTACCTTATAGACTTGGAGCTGTGTGCCTCCACTCCAAGGCTGCCTGGCTGCTGTAAACACTATCCCACTCTCTCTGCCAATGACTGCTTCAGGAACGGGCCCAAGATCCCATGCAGGTCCATGATAAGTGAGTAAAAGTCTGCAGAGGTGGGGATGGAAGATCTCTCATTAGATAGAACCTATCTTTGTCCCTGGCATTGTGGGGTCTGGGTGTGACGCTGGGACTGTCAGCAGCTTTGTGCTGCCAACCTGAGGTTGAACGCAGTGCCTCAGAGCAGCAGAGTTGGGGCCACCTGAGCCCTGAGCCACCAGCCCTGCAGCCTGCCCCATCTCTGCATTTCCAGTTGTGTTAGCCAATAAATTTCCTACTTATTTAAGCTATTTGTGCTCCGGGTCTCTTTTACCTGCATTTTAAAACATTCAAAGTAATGAAAATTTCTCCACATTCCTTTTTATCCTTTCAATCTGTTGGAACTTCCCAGTCCACATGCTTCCTTTGAGCAAGTGGCATCCAGAACAAAGGAACAGGATTGGCTTTTCTTGTTCCTAAAATTAGGAAGAACCTCCTGCTCCTACTGAAGTGTCTGCCACATAGTGGACATTCCCTGAACTCTGAGTAAAGCAAAACACTTTCAGTTGGATTGCATTGACGAATGGGAGTGGGAAAGGGTCAAGGAAATGGGGTGCCCTCTATGCAGGGCTTTCTCTGTGCTTTCTTCTCAGTTTGGCCAGGGGCCCAAGAGAAACACAGCTCACATTTCAGTGCTCTGCAAGGAATCACTTTGGCAAACGTTCATACATGAGAAAGGTTAACCAAACCCTTTCTCCTTCTCCACTGTAAAATGTCCTTGGATCAGCTCTCCAGCTCTATTTCTTTGGAAGTTGATGTCCACAGGGTTGGGGTGGGGGACAGGCTGTTGGCTGGGTACCAGGCAATCCTGCTCACCATGAAAGTGATTCCTTGTTAGTAGAGGGAGTGTGGACCAGGTGACCCGGGAATGGGCCATCCCCCCACTGGAAGGAGGCTACTCTGGCAGCGCCGCTCTGTAATGCTTTCTTAAGATCATGGCTATGTCCATCAAGAGTGCCTCCCTGGAGGGAGGGAGAGCCCAGACAACATCTACTGGACCAGTTTCTGGAGGCTTCAAGGTCACCACACTTATGTGCAGTCTTTGCCTCCCTCAACTCAGCCCAGTCCTCCTCTGCGGGGCTGCTGCAGTGAAGGGAGCCACATTTCAAAGTCACCCAGGACAGGGGTGAGTTCCCTCCCGATGTTGTCATCAGTGACCACACCGCGGGGCACCTCCTTAGCTCTCCCGAATCTGTCCTGTCCATCACCACTGCTACTACTAGAGTGCAGGTGCTGATTTCCTCTGAATGCTATCCTTGTCTCCAGGCTTATACTCATACAACCCAGCTGCCTCTTGCTGCCACCTGATCTTCCCAAGATACACCAACCTGCTTAGAAGCCTCTGGCCAGGATTCCAGGAGGCACCCTCGAATCCTGAGAATGAGGCCCAGAACCCCCATCCCCACCCAGCCCCAGCTCCAGCCCCCCATGCACCCCTCCTCCTGTGTGCTGACTCCCATCCCATTCCTTAATTACATGCCCCTCAGCCTCCAGTGACTTCTCGCAAGAGGCAAGGATGTTCCCAGTCAGCTTAGTATCTCTCCGTCTAGGAAGCCTCTGCAGAGCCTGCCGTGGTCTCCTTCTTGCTGACATTGCTTCCAAAAGAAACCTTCTCCTACAGCCCCACTTTTATGTGCTTTCATTCCTCCACCCCACAGTCTCCTGGGGAGCAGAATCCTGTTATTTTTTATCTTACACTCCTGGTGCCAGGCATTGACCCTGACCCTCAGTACTAACGTCATAAATGTCTGTGAAGCTGGACTGAATTAAATCAAGCTCATTGGAGCAGTTTGGGAACACTGCATTGAGGAGGTGGTCCTTGGTCTGAGAACTCAGGGTTCCCAGGGTTTAGGGAGCTGGCACACAACACACTCCCTGCACATGTTTGGAATCAGTTCTGTGCTAGAGGATGCAGGAGTCAATGCCATGGAACCAGACATGGAGCTTCATTGCCAGAAGCAGAGCTGGAGGATGCTGCTAAGGGGCATCAGAGCCGAGCACCTCAGACTCACCCCAGAGTAGTCACTTGCCCATCCAGCCATGGCCTCTCCAGGACGGCTGCAGGTCTCCCTTACCGAACACAAAGAAGAAGGTGTGGTGGAGGGACCCAGGGACTTCCTCTTCATCGGATTACCGGTTTCCACTGAATTCCCAACCTGCCCATACTTGAGCCCCATGTCTGCCTTCTTCTCTTTACTGCCATTGAGATGGGGACCACCACCCTTTCCTCAAATTCCCACAGACATCACATGTCACTGTCCTGTATGGTACTGAGTTTGGGGTTAGAGATGTGGCATTGCAGTGCAGCCCGGCCAACAATGGGAAATCAGTGAAACAGATGACAGCCCTCAGCCTAAATCTGGCCCGCCACCTGTTTTGTACAGCTATGAGCTAAGAGGGGTGTTTACATTTCCAAATGGTTGACGAAATCAGAAGAAAAATAACATTTTATCTTCACACACGAAAACTGCATGAAATTCAGAGTTCAGTGCTCATGAAGTTCTAGGGATCAAAGCCTTGCACATCACTTACAGTCTCATCCATAGTGGTCTTTGTCTATGCAGCAAAGTTGAGATAAGTAGCTGGGACATCTACCATATAGTCTGCTGAGCACAGGTTTTCTGCTCTCTGGCCCTAAAAACTCCTGCTCCAGGACATCCCAGGTCCTGCATTTCCCAGTTGCTCTCCTTGCTTTCCCCAAGGCAGGCCCCATCTGGCCACTGCAACCCCTTGCTCTCTTTCCCTCAAGTCCAGCCCCTTGTCCTCCAGCCTCCTCCACACCTCCAGGGTCCCCTACTTGGTTCAGCAGATTGACCTCGCCATCCTTGCTTTCTGAGGTGGGGGCAGGGCATCATCTTTTCAGCCTGCGAATAAATCTGGGCATATCTATGAATAAAGTAAGGAATTCTGCCAGCAGCTTGTCTCATAGCACATTTCTCCCCTGGACATCAGGAATGCAGAAAGCAGGGCCCAGGGTGAGACATTCTCAGACCCTCGTAGCCAAGCACCTTTCTTCCTGCAAGCCACCAAATATTCCAAGGCCATACCCAGCCAGTTTATGATTTACACTCACAAGTTAACAAAACAAAACAAAAAAAAATAGTTTTTCTTTTTCTTTCTTTCTTTTTTTTTTTTTTTTTCTGAGACAGAGTCTCACTCTGTCGTCCAGGCTGGAGTGCAGTGTCTCAATCTCGGCTCACTACAACCTCCACCTCACGGTTCAAGTGATTTTCTGGCTAATTTTTGTATTTCTAGTAGAGACAGGGTTTCACCATGTTGGCCAGGTTGGTATCGAACTCCTGACCTCAAGTGATCTGCCCGCCTTGGCCTCCCAAAGTGCTAGGATTGCAGGCATGAGCCACCACACCCAGCCAATATTTTATTTATCTAAAAGCACTGGATGGAAAATTGATGATATGTCTGTTGCGAGGAAGATAAATTGGGAGTGAAATTCTGTAAAAAGCAAGCAAAGGGCGATAGACACATAAACAGAGATGGCAACTCTGGGAAAGAAAAAAGGCAGGCTGTAGAAATCACCTAAAATGCTCAGTGTCCACGAGTGATACACAAGTTCATTAAAATGGCAAGAACAATCAAACCACATGTAATAAAAAGGCAGACATGACAACCTAAGAAAGCATCTGCTGTTTAACTCTGGGGAGCACTTTGCATGGCCAGTTACTCTCATCCTCCCTCAGCTCTCACCTCTGCTTCTCCACCTGCCATTCCACACTGGCCAGGTACTGCCCGTAGTCTTCTTGGCAGGCCTCAGCCTGCCTCTCTGGAGCAGCTGGGCATCCAGGACGAGGTCGTTGCTGTGGAAGGAGCCCTCTCACTCCCTCCCCAGCCTCTTGATTGCAGCCACGAGCTGTGCCCGCTGCTGCCTCTGCTCCTCCACGGTGGCCCGGTTGTTGAAGGTGTAATATCTCCTCACACACTCCTGCACCAGGTCCTTCAGGCTATGGTTGTCCATGTATGCTACATAGTCATCCAGGGCCTGGCCCCTAAGACCTCTTTGTGGGTGAAGAGGATGACCACATGTCTCATGGCCCCTGCCCCAAAAACCTCCTTCACCCTCCTGACTGCCACCATGTCCTAAGCAGTGAAACGCCTCAGCTGGATCACCAGAAGCAGCACGTGGGGCCCCGGGGCAGAGAGCAGGTAGCAGTTCCCAATGTTCTTGTACAGCTCTTGAGTCTGGACCTCTGACTCAAAGATGGAGAGCATGTCAACCACCAGGACTTTCCTCCTGTTCCATGTTCCTGTCTCCACCTGGCACGTCCTGGTTACTGACTGGGCCCCCAGCTTGGACTCAAACACAAGCTGGCCGAGGATGCTGTTCCCTGTGGCACTTTTCCCTCAGCCTGTTTTGCCCACCAGGGGGATCAGCAGCAGCAGTGATCCTGGAGCCAACCTGCCTTGTCCTCAGCCTGTGAGAGTGGGTGAAGAGTGAGTGTGTAAAAACTGCATTCTGAGGTGGAGGCACCAAAAGACAGAAGGCAAAGGCATCCAGAGGCACTGGCACCCTGGGTCAGTGAGGACTCCACCGCTCCACTCCCATCCCTGACCCCACGTACAGAGAATGGAGGGACTCACACAGTGTTTGTGGGATTACCCAGCTGGCCAGAGCCCCAGGGCTCTTCCCCTTTGGGACTGCTGAGCTCTGCCCCTTTCTGGCCTTCCCTCGATGCACTTCCCACCCTGAGGGCCTAGGGTGGGGCCAGGAGGAGGCCGTTTTCTCCGCCACTGCATGGTCCATCTCATGCTTTCTCCCTCTCCCATCCCTAGCTGATCTCTATTTTTCACGATCACAGAGTTTTATTTGGAAAATCTTGTCTTCACTGAAAAGAGGATGGCAGTTAAGAGCTTAATATGCTGTATTTCTGGGGGTAAATGTGTTTTCTTTGTCGTTGGTGAATACAGTCTTGTGCCTTTCACTGCCAGGTGGGAAGTTTGACCCCCAGTTCTGCGTCTACAACCCTTGACCTTTATAAGAGCTTTACCAAGTGCAGCTCCCTTGCCCGTGCAGAAGGCACCTGCTCCACCCATTCGAAGCCCTTCTATCTTATCCTAGAGGAGAAAACATACATGGATTGTTCACACTGGAGGCGGATGTGATATCCAACACAAAGCATCACATTTTACAGATGAGGAAATTGAGGCAAGAAAAGAAAACCCTGCTGAGGTCACACATTATTTAAGGGATGAGCTGAGACTAACACCCAGGTCTGCTGACTTCAGGTATTCTCAGCAGTAGCCTGGGCTTCCTGCTGAAGAACATACAGACAGCCCCAAAATGCACCACAAGTCTGCGTTTCCCAGCACCTGTATTTAACATACAGGCAGCCCCAGAATGCACCACATGCCTGCGTTTCCCAGCACCTGTATTTAGCTAACGGGAGGCGGTGAATGGAAGGCAGGGAAGGCTGATGGATGCTGTCCACCCAGATCAAGAAAGTCAGCAATCATTTCCAACTGAACATCTGGCTGTCATGTGTTCTTGTCCACTTTTAGGGTCTCAGGGCTGGTACCCAAACTAAAGTGTGCCCGGCAAAGCATCCCCCTTTGATAAACACACAAAAGAAATTCTCCCCTATGTTTCCACGGTGATGGTGGTGCAAAGGGTGACCAACCATCCTGGTTGACCCAGGTCTGCGAGGATTCCCTGATTGAAGGACTTTCAGTGCTGAACTGGGAAAGTCCCAGACACACCAAGATGAGCTGCTTACCCCAAGAGTAGGAGATTGTCATGGGTGCAGGTTAGGGGTGGGGAGTAGGGGCATGAACATCCAGTAATTGGAGAGAAGAACTGATTTGTTGGGCTCAGATTAATGCCTTATGCTACAGAGGATTGGTGCTTCCCTATTCCTACCTCAGTCTTGGACCAGTCACTACCCCAGGGGCACTTCTCATCAAGCCCCCTCACCTCCTTGCACTGTTCCCACCATACCTTTCCTCCTACCTCCTACCTCCTACTTCCAGTGCTCAGGTAGAAAATCCACCCAGGCCCCAGAGAAGAATGACTTCTCAGGCTTCGCTACTATGAAAAACCTATACAACCCTTTCCAAAGCAACATGAGGACCTTGCTGTGTGCAAAGTTTCAGTGCGTTGCCTTGTAACAGGCTCAAGGCATTAATGCTAAAGAGTGAGTCCCTAATTGCAGAATTGTGGAGCCTATGCCTGGTCAATTGAAAAAATACTTTTTGGACTGATGTCATGGCGCTTTAGGGGAAGAAGTTAGTGTTCCACGGGGCCCTGGTACTGAAGATGTGATCCAGGTCACCCCTAACTCTTTCCCACTCACCCAACCCTCTTGCGCCCACCTTTTCCCTCTCTCCTCTAGCAGAATGAAGCATGCAGGCCTGGGTGAAGGAGTACCTCCTGGCAACTCTGGGAACGATGGCTATGCTAATAGTGGGTATAGTGCCTGTGAAGAAAAAAACAAGAGACTCACTGAAAGTCTGAGAAGCAAAGTAACTGTTATAAAATAATTTTCCATTGAAATAGGCCATGAAGTTAAAACCCAAAATAAATTATTAGCTGAAATGGATTCACAATTTGATTCTACAACTGGATTTCTAGGTAAAACTATGGGCAAAGTGGAGATTTTATCCATAGGGAGCCAAAAAAAAAAAAAGCTGCTGGGCTCTACAATGCTGTTTTATTTATTTGTCTTTTTTTGTCATTTATTGGATTAGTAAACTGAGGTGATGCAAGTAATTGTGAATTTGGAATTTGTTCCAATTTAATGACTTGGTGTACCACCTTGATAAAAATCAGCACCAAAACATTCCTAGTTTTCAAACACTATGGCATTTTTCATTGAAAATTGCTGCACGTTTCTTGTTTTATAAATCACGTTAGATACTACAGTGCTCTTTGAATATTGTCTGCTTTTTCCTTTTCTTTTTTTTATTTTAAGTTCTGGATTACATGTGCAGGATGTGCAGGTTTGTTACATGGGCAAATGTGTGCCATGGTGGTTTGCTGCACCTATCAACCCATCACCATGCCACCTAATAGCCTGGCATGCATTAGCTATTTTTCCTGATGCTCTCCCTCCTCCCACCCCACCCTCCCCGAGAGACCCCAGTGTGTGTTAGTCCCCTCCCTGTGTCTGTGTGTTCTCATTATTCAGCTCCCACTTGTAAGTGAGAACATGTGGTGTTTGGTTTTCTTTTCCTGCATTAGTTTGCTGAGGATAATGGCTTCCAGCTTCATCCATATACCTGCAAAGGACATGATCTAATTCCTTTTTATGACTGCATAGTAATCCATGGTGTATATGTACCACGTTTTCTTTCTCCAATCTATCACTGATCAGCATTTGGGTTGATCAAATACTGTTTCTTAATGACTCATTTTGGCCCCTGTCTTCAGGGGTAATGAGACTATGTGGCTCCCCCAATTTCCAAGTTGTTTTTCTATTGCTTGCTAATGACTAAACAGCATTGTAATATTCTGTTGTTATCATAAAAGTAGCTTTATGTCCCATGTAAGGAAACTTTTAGTGAGAGAGTAACAGAATGCCTGAAGAGCCTGACTGTGAGCTCTAGAAGTAGTCAACCAGTTTGTGATAGAATGGTAACTGAATTTTCCCAACTACATCAGCTGTGATGACGTGCTCCGTTTTCCTCCTTTAGTTAGTTAAAATCATAGGCTGATTTCTTTTTACCTATAATCTCCCTAATAATTTTTGATGATAGTGACCCCTCACTTCTCTATGCCCAAAAAACTCATTCTTTAAATAATGCTTGTCATGTTGGCATAGTTCTAATAGGGACCAATGTACATGTGTATCCGTATAGTTATTGTTTTATATTAACTTTATAAATTCTGTTGACTTGGCTTATAATAGTTTTATGATTTTTACTATATAGGTAGGATTATATATAGATTATCATTTGTGACAGAATAATGTGAAGTTAAGTAATTACTAAACTCTAAATGGAAATAGTATTCAAGAAACTCAGGCACTGAACTTGAAGATAAGAGTACTGTTGCTTTAATCCAGTGTATTTGCTTATGGAAAGAAAAACACAAAGGCGGACTTGAGTAAAAAGAAATATTAAAATATTGTTAAAAATTCTGTATTACTACTATTTTGGAATTTAACCATTTATAGTCTCCAAAAATAAATTTTCAAATAAAATATTTTTATAAATAAAAAACGCTTTTTGGAATAAATCAATTTTCTAATGTTCCTTGGGATCATGCCACATATGATGGTATCTAGCTCCTTGCCCCCCAACACAGACACAGTTCAATTGGCCAGTGATTACTTTAGCAGGGAAAATAAATTAATAAATAAATAATTTTGGAATCATTTTCATGGAAGTACTAAATGTCAAAACTCACTTTCTATGAGGTAATTCCCTAGTAATTTCTTTGTAATTGAGCCTGAGGGTATTTTTAACACCAGTACTGCCTCCTGGAATCTCTCTATTCTTTAGCCAGGTCCCATGGAAGTTAATCTAATCTGGTTGCAAAGTCTGTCCCACAGTACACACAATTCAAATAAGAGTTATCCACCCACAGCTCTGATGACACAACTCAAGCCTTGCCTTTACATCCAAGCAAGTGCTGATGTTTTGGATAGAAACCAAAGCATTTTCTGTCATCTTGCAATCCATGAGAGGGCCCTTCAAACTGAGTGTGATGGTCATTCTTATGTGTCACTTGGCGAGGCCATAGTACCCAATGGTCTAACCAAACACTAATCCAGGTGTTGCTATGAGGATATTTTGCAGATGTGGTTAATGCAAAGTAAGGATTACCTTCTGTAACATAGAGGGAAATCACCTAGGCAGTTGAAAGTCTTAAGGCAATAACCGATTTCCCAGAGAAGGAATTCCACCTCAAGACTGCAGTGTCTACTCCTGGCTGAATGTTCAGCCTGCCCACCTGTACCACAGATTTTGGACCTGCCAACCCTCGAAATCACATGAGCCAATTTCTAGAAATAAATCTTTTACTAGATATATCCTGTTGTTTCTGTTTCTCTGGAGAAACCTGACCGATAGCTGATTATTTCTACTGATACTCAGAGAAAGAGCAAACCTGAACATAAATCTGTCTTTTTGGCTGGGCGTGGTGGCTCATCTCTGTAATCCCAGCATTTTGAGAGGCCAAGGTGGATGGGTCACCTGAGACCACGAGTTCTAGACCAGCCTGGCCAACATGGTGAAACACTTTCTCTACTAAAAATACAAAAATTACCCAGGCATGGTGGTCCATGCCTATAATCCCAGCTACTCAAGAGGCAGAGGTGGGAGAATTGCTTGAACCCAGGAAGTGGAGGTTGCAGTGAGCCGAGATTGCAACACTGCACTCCAGACTGGGAGACAGAGTGAGACTCTGTCTCAAAAAAAAAAAATAAATAAATAAATAAATAAATAAATAAAATAAAATAAAAAACCCAAAAACCTCATCTTTCCAAGAAAGATTATTTTCTTTTCAAGAATATTTGGGTGACCTTTTTAAAAGATGTGCTTGCAACTTACAGGGATATGAGGGCCTCTTCAAGGAGAACTACAAACCACCACTCAATGAAACAAAAGAGGACACAAACAAATGGAAGAACATACCATGCTCATGGATTGGAAGAATCAATATCATGAAAATGGCCATACTGCCCAAGGAAATTTACAGATTCAATGTCATCCCCATTAAGCTACCAATGACTTTCTTCACAGAATTGGAAAAAACTACTTTAAAGTTCATATGGAACCAAAAAAGACCCCGCATTGCCAAGACACTCCTAAGCCAAAAGAACAAAGCTGGAGGCATCACGCTACCTGACTTCAAACTATACTACAAGGCTACAGTAACCACAACAGCATGGTACTGGGACCAAAACAGAGATATAGACCAATAGAACAGAACAGAGCCCTCAGAAACAATACCACACATCTACAACCATCTCATCTTTGACAAACTTGACAAAAACAAGAAATGAGGAAAGGATTCCCTA